CTTAAGACTTTCTCCTGCGTGCAAACAACTTCATTTCAGCTGTAACTACTACTACATCACCGATAATAGCTTTTACACATATCCCACATTTTAAGGCTCATTGTGGTATAGTATGGGTTACTGACTATTTATCTATTTGGTCGATCCAAACAACCTAGCTAATCTGGGATATTTTCAAAATGCTGATTTAAACTGTCGGGTTTTTGGTGCTGCTTGCCCTTCTTTCCCCAGGCTGTCTAACATCCCTCTCTGCTCCCTGAAGATGTTAATTCAGAGCAGAGCTGGCAGCAGGCCCTGCGACACCCCAGGGGGTTCCTCTGAGCAGTATGCAGGCAGTCATTAGTCTTTGACTATAGTCTGTCAGCCAGGCCAAGTTCCTCGTCCCTCGTCCAAGCCAAATGGATATGCCACATCATGCCAAGTCATGCCATAAAACAACAGTAGGAATAACTTACATTTTAAATCCCTAGGGGTAGCTACCACATCAGACCGCCTGATTAGAAAATGGCCACTGAAACATAAGGAACAGCACTTCTGCGGGTCTCTTGCCTGCACAGGAATGAAACAGTTTTAATATCAACTGACAAAAGAATAAGAGAAGTGCTTGAGCCAGGTTCAATCCACACAAAACATACATTTTTGGCACCTAACTGAAGTGCCTAGTTTAGGACCTCATGCAAGCAGGAGGTAATGTCCTGCTTCAGCTGTCAGGATGAGATAGCTACAGCTCAGGTTCATGTGGATCTCAGGTGGGATGAATCACCTTCTAGGATACCTATCCCTTTTCAATGACTGTAGGGACCCTTGGGCATGTTGGGGTAGGGGGAATGAATCTGGGGTGAATGTGTACTAATTAGAGTACTAGACATCTTAATATATTGGAAAGATGACTTGTAGTTAGCACATGGATATGCCACTTCACTTTCATGCACTACTACTGTGAGCAGCACGCCACGAAAAGACATAGCCATTTCATAAGGAATACATGACAGTAAGAGAAAAAAGGAAAAGAAATGTAACTTGGAATAAAGTTGGAAATCCAACAAAATTATATTTACCTTCCCCCAAACTGAAATATCTTTTCATATTTTTTGATCGGAAATTTTCTCAAAGTCTAAAGGGTTTCAAAAGCAAAAGGGGTTTTCTTGAAAAGACATTTTCTAGTAGCAAACTGTTTCTATAAAATTGTGCACATAGCTCTCCTAGGGATCAGCATGATTCAGTGCTGTTGGAAATGTTTAGTAGTTATCTGCAGTGAGATGGCAATATTTGGGTTATTTAGACTGCTTAGGAATATGGATCATTACAAATAGATCATTATGGAGTACATAAAAGGAGGTGGTAACTGGATAACTTGAAAACAAATTATTTTCACTATACACAAGTGCAAGACAATCTATATTGGAAAATGATAAATTAAACCATTCATATACCCTGAATTCACTGTAGTCTCTCAAGGGGGAAAAAAATCTAGGTTAAATAATGGGCAACTAAACAAAGACATATGTTCAATGTGCATCACAGATCAGAAAGGCAATGAGATGTTGGAAATCCTACAACAATAGCTTTTCTCAAGCTAGAGCTGCCAGCTGAAATTGAGAAATGCAGACACTTCTTTTTCCCTGATAAATTCCCTCAAGGATGCATCGCTCCTTCCATTCCATTTAGGCACCAGTAATTATTAATGCCACAGGGCACCGCAGGAAGAGTCATTCTAGTTTCTGTAACATCAGGCATGGCACTGGAAGTTTATCCCAGCTCTTGGTACCCCACGCTACAACTTGGAGTCGGCTGTTAAAGGCTGTTCTGCAAATTGCCAAATCCTCAGGGGTGAGAAAGCATGGGTTTGATGACTGAAAGCACCCAGATGACTTGTGTGTGCTACTCACCTCTGTCAGGAGACAGTGCCTTTACAACAAGAGGGCATTTGTGGCCGCGGAGGCAGTACTATACGCTAACGCTAGAGGCAGATGCAGCCCAGATTGCTGAGAGAGCAATGGGAGAGGTGGCTCCAAGTCACCCTGGGCCTTCTCCAAAAACAACCCAAGCTAATGGAAAACCTCCCATTTTTATCTCCCCTGCTTCTTGCCAGGTGTGACTCGGCGCTGCCTATCTGGCCGGAGGCGGCACGCTGGAGGCAAGTGGCCCCCGGGCGCACCTGGGGACGCCCGCGGGGAGAGCCAGCCGCACGCGGGGGCAGCGCCGGGGTCGCTCCGAGCCAGCGCCGGGCTGCGTGCGTGGCTCTGGCCCCGGTCCGCCGCCCCCGGGGGGGGGGGGCGGCGG